TGTGTGTGTGTGTGTGTGTGTGTGTGTAAATGATGATCCAACATGTCCATAGATGGAACGGTCTTCTCCAAAGGTCCTATTGTAGTTATTTTATTCAATTATATGTGTGTGTGTGTGTGTGTGTGTGTGTGTGTATGTGTGTGTGTGTGAAAGAGAAGAAAACAGATGCCCAACACTTCCTTTCTTTAGAAAAAAGGCCACCAAGATCAGAGTTTATTTGCATGTGAAGAGTAGGCCAAGTTGGCGCCCTTTGGGGCAATGCTCAGCAACCAGATTTGGGAATCCCCTCTGAGAGCATGCCCCCACTGCGGTGATGCTTCCGAAAGATCACACTGCAAGGACTTCTGAGGGCAATCCCCATGGAGAGAACTCAGGGGAGCAAGCCAGGCCAGAAGTGAGGGGAGAAAAAGTGACTGTTCTCTCTGGACTCCCACTCCCCTCACTTGGGCCAAACCCTGGGGGGACTGGAATGCTCAGGGAATTCATCTCTCTTTTTGTTGTTGTTGTTGCTGAACTTCGTATGAAATGGTCTCTGGTCCCGAGGGCTGTCCTAGCCAGGTGAAACAGAGGGACAGCAACAAACTGCTGTTATTTATTCTTAGAGGCTCACAGCATGCAATTGCCATGATTCAAGGTTCTGGGAAGACTTGTCATGATGACTCCTCATGCTTCCATCTGGACGCACCCTATTTCACACCACATTGTCAAGTGTCCATCCTCGTGCCCGATGGCCCCAGGTGTGCAGAGGAGAGCTGCTCCGCCAGGGCCTCAAGGCAGGCGCTTCTCAGAAGCAAAGCACCAGGCCTTTCTTTCGACTCCACACGGGGAGAGTGTGAACGGCCAGCCCTTCAGTTACAAGCAGATCAATTAACTTGCTTGCCTCACATTGGAAAAGAGAAGAGTCATATAAGAAACGGGATGTCCTCAATCAAAGACTGTATCTCCTTTTTCAGGTTTTAATAAACAACTAACAAATAGGTCAAACTGGTATGTGAACTATCTGGTAGCTATTTTCTGCTGAAGAAGCATTCTAGGTACCGACCACCCCCACTCCAGCCCATCACCATGCCGAAGAAGAAGGAGAAAGGAGACACCACGTACAATGGTTTGAGAAAGGACCAGGACGGTGAGCGGGAGGTTATTAAAGATATGATGGTGGTGGCAGAGGAAGAGGAGAAGGCCTAAACACCTTTGGAGGAATGTTGGTATTTATAAAATAATAATAAAAGAAGAGTTCTGATTAAAGAGGTAAAGAAATGTTGAAAAAAATTCAAATTGAAAAGAAAAAAGATCAGACTAAATGGTCCAAAAGAACTGGAGGAATCCCTGAGACTCTTGACCTAAAACAACCTTCTAACTTGAAACTGAAGAAACTTCCAGAAACCACCTCGCAGTCAAATAACAGATGGGACTATGAAACAAACAGTAACACCCGTGAAGAATGTACTCCTTAGAACAAACAAGCATATGAGACTAAAAGGGCAATAGTTGCCAAGAACCAAAGGCAAGAAAGCAGGAAGGGTTAGAGAAATTGGATAAACGGAAGTGGGAAACCCAGAGAATGCAGCCAATGTCATGGGACACTGTGCATGTGTAACTGATTGGAAAACGAATTTGCTGCATAAAATTCCACTTAAACACAATAAAACGTTGGGGAGAAAAAGCACAACTTCCTTAAAAAGAAGCTCTTCCCTTTCGTTTTATAAAGAGTGTAATTATAAAATAAAGGGTGATAATGTGTCAATTTTCGTCTCCAACTCTACTTTCCCTAAGCACATTTGAAAGTAGTAGAAATAATGAACATCCAAAGTTCACATTGTGTGCAGAGATATGGCTTTGTCAAAAGCTTCATGAGCTGACTGGCTCATGGTTTCCAAGGAACTTGCTTGAAGAGATGTGTCCTGCCATGGGAAGGAATGTCCGACTCTGATAAACATCCAATCTCAAACTCACATCCATCGTGCCGTTTCTGCCTCATAGCGACCCCTTAGGACAGGGTCGAACGGCCCCTCTGGGCTTCTGTGACTGTAACTCTTTGTGGGAGTAGAAAGCCTCATCTTTGTACTGTAGTGCAGCTGGTGGCTTCAAACTGCTGACCTTGAGGTTAGCAGCCCAAAGCTTAACCCACTCCGCCACCCAGAAGTCTTTGATAAGCGTATGGGAGGGCCCTATATCCCTTGCATTTCTTCTTTACAAGGGGATTGTAACACGGCTGGCTGGGTTCAGCTGTGGGAAGCCCTCCAGCCATTGAAAAGGAGGAGGTCCGACTCCTGCTCCGGGAGGGCCTGAAGACAATGCAGGTCACACCACCTTCCTAGGAAGAATTGTCCCCAGGAAATTCAAGATGTGCTCTCATCCGCCACTGCTCTGCTGCTTTGCCCTGTCGTAGCTTCAGCTTCGCCTGCGGAGCGGGAAAGGCAAGGAATGCGTGCAAACTAGCACTCTGTGATCCTCCCCCCCCACACTTTTCCTCTCTCCATGTTTTCAGTGGTGAAAGCCGCTTTTTAAAGCATTTCCACAATCTCAGCTGGGAGCCGATCCCTATCAGCAGGTTCAACTCTATTTGTAGCGACTCCAACGACAAAGAGAATTTGTGTTCTGACCATCAGAATTCCAGTAAATGGCAAATGCATCTTCATGCTGAGAGGTGGGGAATGCAATAATCTTTTGGCGGGGTTCACGCTGCGTCGTGACGCTGGAATGAACATGGAGAGGACTGTGCCTTGAAGAGCAATAAATCAGCGAGCTGGGACCTTTGCAACACCCCGCTTTTAATTTGAAACCCCAGCTTAACGGTACTGTTTTATGTTTTTTCCCCTGGGGTCTTTGATGCTTGATGCCTTGTTTACCCCCAAGAAACAGAATGAAGCACTCTGAGATCTTAAAAATAAATAAACAAAACTAACCCCGGTATATATTTTCTTATGGCACCACCAGGACATTTGCTGGAAGTCTTTAGTACTTGTTTCTATTCATTGCTCTCCAGCCAATTCTGAGTCATGGCCACTGTGTGTGTGCAGGGTGGAATTGCTCTGCTCTCAGTGGCTCAGGATGGATTTGAACCAACAAGCCTTTAAACTAGGAGTAGAGTGTCTAGCCAGTGAAGCCACCGAGCATCTCCAAGGCTAACTTAACAGGGAAGGTGGCTGTGGGGATTAGGGGACTTGCAGTAAGAGCATCA